AGTGTTAGCGTACGGGTTAGGATTAGGGCACGGTTTAGGGTATGCCTAATGGTAAGAGTTAGGGAGATGTGGCCACGCCAGGAGCAGAGTGTGAGCCGGGGACGGGGCACGAGCGGCGGGGCGTGCGGGTGGGCGCAGGGCCAGGGCGTCGGAGCTGGAGTTCGGCGTGCCAGGCAGGCGTGGGACAGAGTTGTTACCTGCTTGGGGCCCGTGAACACGCAGCCAAAAGGCCTTCTCAGCCACGCCTATGAAATTGGAGGCTCGACAGAGGTACTCGCCCCCGTCGCGCTCGGACACATTGGCCAGGTGGAGGCGCGCGTCGGCCTCCACACTCTCACTGATCCACGACTGCAGGGACAAGAGACCCGGCTCAGGCGCGGAAGCCCCGCCGGGCATGGAAGTGGCCGCGCAGGAGCGGGCCTGTCTAGACCCCAGGCTCTGAGGCTCTGAGACCCCCAAGGAACGGGTGGGCAGACTAGGCTGTGCCAGCTAGGAAGGATGCCTGGAGGCGGCTTGCAGGCACCTCACAGCGGCGGCTGTCGTCTCAGTGGATGCGCCTTCCCCTCATCCACCCCAACAGCCCGGAGCGCAGCCCTTGCTGGTGGCGCTCAGATAGGCCCTCCCAGGGCACTGGAGCTGCCCACCGCGGGGGCCCCGGCTGCCACACTGCTGGGCCGAGAGCACCCGGCACCGCCCCGCGGCTAGTCTGGACCCCTGCTCCCGCCCCACAGGCCCATTTCGTCTCTAAACAGATGTTTCTCTTTGGGCTGCAAGTGTCGCAATCACCCCAACTCGGGGGGGCCCCCACCCCCGGGGCCGTGGGAACAAAGCTCAGGCGGTCTTGCCCTGAGGGCCCAGTGAGGTGGGCGGGTGGCCGTCTGAAGGCAGACAAGGGCGCAAGGACACGGCCCACTGTAGGTCCTGGCGGGCCGGGCCGGCCCCACCTCCCGAACCAGCCAGCCCCCTGATGCTTCTCCCCGCAGGTCCGAAGCCTGCGCCCCGACCCCCGTCCCTTAAACACGACAGGCCTCCTGCCTGGGATGCCCTCCCTGTCCCCGGCGGAGGGGGCCCCCGCAGGGCCGGACCTGACGGCTCACCTGCAAGGAGCGCCCCCCCCCCC